ATACGAGGTTGATGCATTTGTGCATGTCGTACTAAGCAAGGTATAAAAACAGTTGCTTTATGAGGAATTAGTTCGTACCATTGAATATTTGACGCAATAGACAAGGTGTCGCAGAAACCGATGTTGCTATAACCAAGTTTTACTGTAATTAATATCAGTATGGGCATAAGCCTGGCCCATTTTTGTGGTCTTGATTTGGCTCTTGGCGTATCTTACGACATCTTTTGAAATACGGTTGTCGCATAGCATCGAATGGAACGGAAATATTGTAATGACTGACGAGTAGGCAGGTTAAAATTTGTAAATACGCAATCGTGGCATATTTCAAGGTACTTTCCTGGCTGAGAAGGTCATGAAATTTGAGATGGATTTAGAAAAGAATTTGTATGATATTTTTTAATACACTATTCCCGCTAGAGGGGGCAGCTGTAGATGGTCAGTGAGAAGTGATATGTACTGACAATGTCCGTACCTCAGATTTGAATTGACATTCTGCCGGTTTACGAGACTCGTATGTGTTCATTAACGTGTTTAAAAAAGCAATGACGAGCTAAATAGTCAATCCAAACATCTCTCCTCCATCAAGAGAAATACCTATTTTCCCTCCTACGTATTCTTCTTCTTCTTCGTTTCACTTCAGTTTACTAATCTAAGACAATCGGTAGGACCCCTTGGACCGGGGATCAACCGGCCGCAAGGCCGCTACCTGACACAAATACAGATATCCATACCTTGAGTGGGATTCGAACCCACAATCCCAGTGCTCGAGCGAGCCTTAGACCGCGCGGCCACTGTGATTGGCTTTCCCCTTATTAGTTAAGTGAAGTAACAAGCCTCAGCTCGGTACGTCTCACATGCTGAACTGACCTTGGTATGTTGGCCCAATAGAAGGGACTCCATGATATATTCTTCCTCCACCCCCTCCGGGGAAGCAGGTAGACAGACGGACGGGCGTGCGTTGAGTCTGTGGAACATGATTAATTAATCGCGTTGTAGGAATATAATGAGCTCGTATTTTAAGTTGGTTTAGTCACATGAACGTTACCAACTTCCATTTCTTTATACTCGGTCCTTTGAGCAAAGCGAAAAAAAGAAAAGACTTAAAATAAATGATTTAGAAAATCTACATTCTTTTCTTCTTTAACGATGAACGATGTCAGCTTCACGACCCGGCCGTTTTACTCCTGGTGTAACAGCTCCCAGTACCCATTGTATATGAGGCTGGATGGTCCCCAGAGTCGGTCTGGATGATATAGAGAAAATCTTTTTCCCATACGGGGAATCAAACCCAGACTCCTCAGTCGTCCAGCCCGTAGCTTAGTCACTGTTCCGACTGGAGTCTATAGCAATTTTAGCCATTTATAAATATGCTGTATAATTATTAAGGAATTATTAAATAATGTGTTATAACGCCTATGTATAGTTTGGTGTATTTTGTTCTTGGGACGTGTTTCTTAAACTCTGTTCTTTTTTGTGTAGTTCCGAAAGTGATATAATTCCTGTTCTATCCCTTGATTGCAGCTTGCTTACAAGGGTCTATGGGCTCTGTGGGATGCATGCATATTTCTGATTCATCTACCCTGA